AAAAAAAAAAAAAAAAAAAAAAAAAAAAAAAAAGTGCATTTGAAAATGTTACAACATAAGGAAAACCCTACATTTTTTAAAAATATACATTGCTACAGTTTCCTCATTGAAATTTATAATTATTGTTATTTAATAAGCCAGTGAGGAAGCATTCTTGTACACTTTGTCAGAGGAGGGAAAAAAGTAGCAACATAGGAGTTAGTGATTAGTACCTATCTTGATTTGATTAATCAATTGCAGTCCTCTATTTTCTGTGGCATGCGCCAGGGAGAACTAATCAAAGCAGTGATTACAGTTGCAACTCTTATAGACAAGACTGCACAAGGCAATAGGGTACCGAAGGAACCAATGCCCTTATCTTGTACCCTTATGTTTCTGGGTACTTAACAAACCTTACAAGCTTTAACGAACAACCTAATTAATTAAAAGCACAAACAATCCAGAGCATCTTCTGTTCTCAGGTACAAGTTGTATCCTGTCTAAAAGTTGTGCCAATTTGAAATCCGACAAGACCTTCTGTGTTGAGAGAGAGAGCATGTGTGAGTGTGTGTGTGTGTGTGTGTGTGTGTGTGAATGATAGCCATGCCATACCCTATCACCTCTTCGAAGGAATAAGTTATATGCCCTCCACACTAGCCTCCTTTAAAGAAATTCTAGATCAGCACAAAAACCAAAACAAGAACTCAGTAAGTCCTCAAAAACAATTGAATGAAAGAATCAAAAAATCTCTCAATAATATGAGAAACAAATGTCTCAGTATTCTCTCGGGATCATGACAACCTCAAGCCACCAGAATTATACAAAAGACTGTCAAAAAAAGTAGACTACAGCAACAGACAACTCTATTAGATTCTTTTGAGCTTCCTTTCCTTGATGGATATGGTCAGACTCTGGTCTTTCCTTAAAAGAGTCAAGAGAAGAAAGAAAACCTCATCTTGCTTATGATACTCAATACTAACTTGAGCCCTCAGTTTTCTGGTTTATAAATTTTAAGCAACTAAAGTGCACTCCATCATTACCTTTGTTTTGTAATTCAAAATAGTTCAAAATATTGCCATGAAACAGTCGTTAATGGTTAACAGAAGGTGTGTAGTTGCATCTCTATTATAAGAAGCGTGTGCACAGGCTCAGCTGTAAATAGTCCCCACCTACTGGAATGAAAGAGTGATGTAGCTTGGTACAGTGCCAACATCTGCCAACCTGGAACTGTGTCATAACCTCAGCCTGCTTTCTGTGCTACACTTTGCTTGGTTTTTAAATTTTGGTTGCATAGATGGATATTCATGATGCATAACTGCCTGGATTGACCATGTTTCTTTATAGAATATCCCTAGAGGAGTTCAGTTCCTACATCAAAGGGCAGAATCCCAGTACCTTTGCTTTAGACAACTGTCAAGCATAAGGTAAAACAGTATTTCATAGGCCAAGCAAAGGTGAGAGCCTGGCATGATGGAAGGAATACTGGGCAAAG